ACGAGTCGCCTGACAGTCTCCGTAGCAACAGAAGGTCCGTCCAGGCTTCTGCCCGGCGGGCACTTGGCGCAAATCCGTCGGCTGTTCTAGCGTCCAGATACCGCTTCTCGGTAGGGACTTGGTCCATTCTACAGTTGGGACAGACCCACGTCTTTTCACTTTGGTACCTAACGCACTGTCCGTGAGATTTGACCGTATGACACTGACTACACTGTACCCATAAAAGAAAACTGGGCCCTCCCGGATGTGACCCTTCTTGGTCTGGGATCATAGGCAAGGTACAGAAGAAACAGGGACTTTGGTGTGTTTCAGAGGACGAGTTGGGGCTAGACGAGAGAGCGAGGGAGTGGGATGAGGGAAGAGAGATAGCGTCGACCATCTCTGATGAAACCTCCATTCCGGACTCAGGCATCGTCCTTACGCAGCACGTGTAGCTCCCCATAGTGCGGTTTCGTCGCCGCGACTTCTGGCCTCCACGGAATGAGTCGCTCGTTGGCGGGACACTTGTTGGGCGGCAGAAGGCGCTTTAATCCATCGGCGTTACCATGCTGCTGCGTGGCACGGTGGCGGATGTCGAAGTCATAGTCTTGCAGACGCACCGCCCACCTGCCCAGCGTCCCCGTGTAGTCCGTGTTGTTGCGTAGGGACAGCAGCGACTGATGATCCGTAACCAGCACGAATTTCTGACCGTACAGATACGATCGGAAATGCTGAATCCCCCACACCACCGTCGGGCATTCACCTTTGCACGCTTCGTAATTAGCCTATGCCTGGCTCAGCGTCTTGGACGCATACTCAATGACGTGCTCCCGTCCATCCTTGCCGTGCTGAGTCAGCACCGCCGATATCGCCTGAGGCTGCCAGTCTGTGTACAGTGCGAACGGTCTTGTCGGGTCGGGGCGCGCCAACACAGGAGCAGATGTCAGAGCCTCCTTCAATGCCTGAAACGCCGCTTCGCATTCCGGCGTCCAGATCAGCTGTTCCTCTTTCTTCAGCAGGTTCGTGAGGGGCTTCGCTATGCCGTCGAACCCTTTGATGAAGCGTCGGTAATAGGATGTCATCCCTAAGAAAGCCCGAACCTGGGTGAGTGTGACCGGCGCCGGGGCATCTTGAACTGCCGCCACCTTCCTCGGATCCCGTTTTAGTCCGTCGACCGTGACGATATACCCCAAGAATGAGATCTCCGACAAGAAGAACTCGGTTTTCTCCAAGGCCACTTTGAACCCCGCATCTTTCAATGCATGCAAAACCCACTCAATGTGTTCCACGTGGTACTCGTGTGTTTTTGAAAAGACCAAAATATCATCCATGTACACAATCACGCAGAAATTGATCAGGGGCTGGGTCAGTCGGGTTTTGTTAACGAACTCAGCGAAGGYCATATTCATGGYCCGCTGAAACGTTGCAGGGGCGTTACAAATTCCCATGGGACACCGGACCCATTGCCACGTGCCCTCAAACAGGACAAAGGCGGTTTTGGGTCGGTCCTCCGGTCGAACTGCGACGTGGTGAAAACCGTGTCGGATATCGAACTTGGAAAAGACTCAAGCGGCCCCGATAGCATCTAACAAATCATCGATTCGCGACAAGGGATACACATCTTTGGTAGTGATGGCGTTCAATTTCCAGTAGTTGATACATACCCGAACCGAGCCATTTCGTTTTGGCATAAGGACCACGGGAAAAGACCATGGTCCCAGCGATGGTTCGACCCACCCCAACTGCTCGAATTCCCGTACCCTTTCCAACGCCAGCTGCCTTTCTTTAAGGGAATATCGGTACGGTCGACAATGTATCGGGGCGTGATCCCCGGTGTCAATCGTGTGTTGTATCAAAGGGGTTAGCCCTATGTCATGGTCCTGAATACAGACGGACTCCGGATAGGCCCGTATAACCGCCAAGAGGAGGCGTTTGTATTCGTCCTAAACACGGGCTGGTAACTGAACTTCTACAGTTCCCCCAGGAAAGGAGACCGTCATTGTAACCGTGGGGACCGCCGTGTTGGCATCGGGCGAGGCCCCAAACAAAGAGTTGTCGGTTTTCGCCGAAAGAACCGTCGCAATAAGTTGGTTGTCCGCCGGACTCATCGGCTCGCTTTCCATGTCACTGTCACTGTCCAGTTCGGGTTCGGCCAAGGGTTCGACCGAAAAGGCCTGCGCCAGTTCCCTCGGTCCCCACCGATACTCCCTCGTTCGGGGTTGAAACGACACCCCCTCTTTCAGGAGTATCGCGGCTTTTTCATTCGTGAGTAGGGGCCGTGGAGGTCGAAAAGATAAATTGCACAGCCCCCTCAGCTCGGTAAATCTTTCAGGTAGGGGGTCCGTCCTGAGATACAAGGACGCAGGGGGGTCCGAAAGGTTAGCTATTCGGAACACCCTCAGCCGGGGTTCCCCCTGCACCACGGAGGAGAACGCGTGCGACCAATTGGACTCGCTCCAAACTATTTCTAGTGGTTTTAGCCGCCAAGAATGGCGCCACCGATCCTGAACTCGGATCGGATATCGGTCGGGTACATCAATCTTGTCAGTTTCCGTCGAGGGCTCATTTTCGTTTCGTGACAGGCGTCGGATCATGTTGATTTGATGGGCTTTCGTGGTGAGGCGAGGCGCCGGCTGGGTGCGCATGCGCACCGCCAGTCTCATTGGTATCGTTTGGGGTTTGGGGTGGGCCGATGTGAGCACCACCTTACAACTGTCAAAGTGCATTCGTGCTCCGACCGCCGCCTACCACGGAATGCCTAGCAGAACATCATACGCCTGTACATCCAGCACGATCACGTCACACAAACAATGCACCCGCCCCACCCGTATAGGCACGTTCGTTATTCGCCCTTTACAATGAATACTATCTTCCGTAGCGGATATGTACAGTTCATCCGATCGGAGGGGCTGAACCTGTCCTTCCCTTCCCAATTGTTTCTTCAATCTCCAAGAAATGGCGACCGCCGATGATCCCGAGTCTAGGATGGCAGCCAAGGGGTTTCCCCAGACCTCACAGTCACACTCTACACTTTTCCAGGTTATAGGATAGGCCCGGAGGAATACCTCGGGTTTTTCCGAGGCGGAATCTACAGTCTGGATCATCCCTATCCGGTTGGCTTCGTGCACCTCTGAGGTCGAGGGCTGTGACTCCTCGTTAGTGGGTGGGTCCCGTAGGACCGACACTTTGCCCTTTCGACTTTCCTCGAATCGGCGCCTGTTTTTGAGGCACCATTCGATCAACTTTTCGTTAGCCGCTTCGAAATGGTTAGCAGATATGGAATAGGGACGGGGATCCAAAGATCCAGAGCCTTCAAGGCATCCAATACGTCGATATGGCCATCCTTGTATTCAGGACCAGGTACCGCAAGATCCTCGAATCCTGGTCGCCACGGCCCGAGGTCGCTTTCCTCGGTAATCCGTTGGACGTGACATATCACTCCGATGGTCCCGGGTTCGAACATCGCTGCCGCCATATACTCATCGGGTCCTATCTCAGTGGCCGCCG